GGGCTTTGCTTGCAGGTTTCTGGCTGGTTCATCATGCGTGCACGGGCATACGACATGAATTCAAGGGCAAGAACGCTCGAGAAGTGACTCGACTCTGCCATGAAGGCCGGGCCACCAAACAACCGTGCCAAAATGTGTCTGCCAAAACGTTTGGTGAGGATGCAGCCAGATAGGTAGGTGGTACCACCGGTATGATGCGGAAGTTTTAGGGTGTTTTACCCTGTAGCTATTGGAACTGGAATGAAGACACCAGTTAGTTCCTTGTTGGCGTCAATTTCAGACGGTGAAAAATAGGACCTTGCCTGCCACCGATTGATTGCCTCAATGGTTGGTTACAAGTTGACAAAACGGAGGCCGTGATGGATCTCGGAACGTTCGGTCGTTTACGTGCTTGCCCATGGTACCAGGTAGTGCTCTTCTACAAGGACGAAGCAAAGCATCCAAAGCATTTCAGCGCGGTTTCATTCTTTTCGCTCAAGAATAGTCGCGCGAACCAAACGCACGAAACAGGCCACTTCCTCCTTCCTTACCACTCACTGTTGCCTCCCTCCCCAGCCTCCGCGCGTATGTATGGTACCTTGTTTTAAAAATAGATTATTCGGTTGTCATTTGATTATAGTATTTACTTTTTATTCATTATACTATTCATTCCATTGTGCTTTTATACGTTCTTCTACTCTTTTCTCAAGGGAAATCACATGCCATCGCCTCTCCTCCTATCATCCATTCTCAATGGGGCGGCATGACTTCGACTGCCCCGTCGCGAACCATCTCGATCTCGTGGGATAGAGCCATGGTATTCGCTCCCACCTCCACGGGGTCGACTGGAACCACCTCTGACAGAACTGCTGGATCGGGACCCTCCTCTAACAGCACTGCTGGATCTGACATGGCTGCTGTGGCTGTGGCTGACAGATCGTGCAGTGCTGCTGGATCGTACAGTGCTGCTGGATCGAAGCTTGCTGCTGGATCTTGTGGAAGAAGGTTGGTGGGATCCTGACCTGGCCCTGCTACTGGATCTCACGCTACTCCCACCGCTTGATTTCACGCTGGCGCTGCTGCTACTCGATCTGTTACGGCTTCTTGATCGAGATCGTTTCTGTTGTTGCTTCATCAGCTTGTCGGCCATTCTCCTCTCCTTGGCTTCGTTAATCTCCATATCAAGGTAGGCCTCTTCAAGCGATAAGTCTTGTTCAATCTGCTGGTGACTGAACCTCTTCATACGAGGTGGTGGCAATCTGTACGCGGAAGGAGCCGGCGCCATGTCGTAGTAGTCATTGGCACTGATCACATAGTAGTCATTGTGATTGGGATACCTTGGCATAACAGCCACTGGAGGTGGCAGTGGTGGGTTGCTTCTCCTACCAATTGGCGGTGGGTGCCTTGCAACTAAAACTTCCTCGTCATATCGCATAGAGCCAGACCTGGTTACACGAGGAGGTCCGTACTTGTCAAAGTGGTACGGGTCTTCAGACCGTTCATAATCCCCTGGATGGACGCTTCCATGGACGCTTCCATCATCACCCCCACGACGATGAGAATGAGAATACGTGCGGCTGCTGCGAACTGACGCTTCCATCATAGCATAAGCTTCATCGTCGTCAAACGAAAGGTCAGACGAAATCGAATTTGAACGATGAATGGTTGACCTTGACTTCCTCGAGGGCTGGCGTCTCGGTTCAGTTTCGTCAACCTTTAACCATGCTGTCTCGAGCATCTCATCGTCAAACTCCTTCGTCCTGTTTCTCATTTTGTTTCGGAACTTTCGTTTCTTGACCTCTGCCCTCACTGCTCGATCGACTTCTTCCTTGACCAACTTGAGGAATTTGAGAATCTTACGTCCAGCCCGGGCACGTCGCCTGTTGCGAACTCTACTAGCAACACGATACCACAATTGGATCGTTGTAGCCGCCTCTTGTTTCGCCTCCAATACTCTCATTTTCTCGACAACCCGAACGCCGTGGACCATCATAAAGAAAGACGAGATTCGAATGGCTGCCAATTCCCTAATGGCCCGCATTTCGAGCATCCTACAATGGATCCTCTTCTGCAGACGCATATTTCTCCACGCGCACTGGATTGTCAAGGCTGCCGGTGGTGCAGGGTTATTTCGTACCGAGTGGGCCAAGAGATTGGCAAGGTGCTTCAAGACCTTCATTCGGCAGCTCAACCTCCTTTGAGCTGCTTGGATTTGGATTGCTGCAAGCTGTCGTTGTTCTTGGAGACTCCTTGCCAAATACCTCCTGAACAGACTTTGGATCTGAATCACTGATCCGACTGTGTAGAGGTGTTGTTGTTGCAGTTGGTAACCCCTCCAGGTTTTCTGAACCTGAGTTGCAGCATGGTTGATTTGTGCAACGTGTTTTTCCCACGCAATGAAAAGCCCAAGACGTTCCTTGTATCCACGCCAACAGCGCTGAATAGTCACAATGGATCCCTTCTTCTCAGCTGTATATTTGCGCTCTGTCCATCCACGGAACGTGCATTGAATAATTGTTGCTGCTCCATTCTGTCGCTCAGATCTCCGGGCTTTGCACACCTGTCGTGCGATGAGAGCACGAGCTAAGGATTGAACCTTGACGACGTCGGAGTAGAGAATGGCATAAGTTGTGTAAATCAGGTAACCCCGCCATGTCCTCTGAATAGTGATCGATGAAGCATTACGTCGTTCGAGCTCAGCTTGCTCTCGTTCCATCTTTCGCAGCACATTACGCCAATACCTTTGGAGCCGTATAATGTCGCTACGAACCAATTCGTAGTAGAGGGTTGCAAAATAGCCACGCCAAATCTTTTGAATGAGACAAGCAGAGGCGGCCCGTTGAACTTGCAATCGCTTCGAGAATTCTTGCTTGGCAAGGTACGATCGCACTTGACTCTGAGCTTTGATAACATCCGCGTGCACAAAGTCATAGTTCGTCATGCAGTAAAAAGCTCTCCACGATTTCTGGATGACAGTAGCGCATTTGTGTTCACGCTCGCGCCGTCGGATGGCGAATTCTTTGGCTGCAATATACTTCCGCGCCTGGGATTGTACCCTGATAACATCGGTAATGATGAAGTCGTAGTTCGTCTTGCAGAAGTACATCCTCCAGGTTTTCTGAATTGATAGTGCACTGTTCATGTCCCTCGTGCATCGCAGTCGGTTCAATTCTCTTTTGGCTATCAAGCGACGAACACAGCTCTGGATGGCAATAACGTCACACATGGCAACAACAAACGCAGCGTATGCCGAGAAGCCACGCCATGTTTTCTGCAAAACAATGGCAGCTTGATCGCGCCTTTCCGACATGAAAGCTTCATATTTCAATTGTGCCAGTCGGCGTCTGATGATGCTTTGCACGGTGATGATGTCGGTCTGAGTGTGGTGGTACTCGCACTCGCACTTGCGGCGTCGCCAATTCCTCTGCAACACCATGGCGCACTTTATGTTCTTGTTGTGTTGAAGGTCTTGCTTGAGTCGTTTTGAAATCAATCTTCTTGCAAGGGCTTGAACGACCACAATGTTTGTCTTATTTCTGCGATACTGTTTGCATGTTAGGCAAGCCCTAAAAACACTTTGCAGCACCACAACCGATTTGTGGCATCTTTCTTGTTTGAATCTTCTCCTGGCGATGAAACCACGGATCAAAGTTTGCACTTTGATTACTTCAGCCAGGTCCATCCTGTATTTATGGCGGGTTTTGTGTCCCCGCCATGCTGCTTGGATTAAAGACGCAGCCACAAACTCGCCCATCATCAGGACGAGAAGTTCCCGAGCCTTGTAGGATCTCCAAGCAAGTTGAATCTTTCTGGCCGCTTCGCTGGTCTTTGCATGAACGAACTTCTTTCGAGCAAAGAAGCATCGCCATTGCGTTTGAAGCTTCGTCGCAGCGCTTTGGGCCATGGCATCGTGCAAAGCCAGGAATTCCCGCCGTGCATTTCGGCGCCGCGCCAAGCTTTGTACTCTGATAATGTCGCTAATCGTGAAGAGGTAGTTGGTAAAAGCAAGGAAACCACGCCAAGCAGCCTGAATCCGTGCTGCAGCCACATACTCGAGAAGGAGCGTCTCAAGTTCTCTCTCAGCTCGACACATTCGCCAACAGTTCTGGATTGACCTTGCACAACGATGCTTCTTGAGCATAGATGTAGCACTCTTCAATCTCCACTGCTGCTGAATGCGAAGAGCACTCGCAGCTTCCTGCTCACGCTTCAACCTCACCTCGGTGCCGAATCGCTTCCTAGCTATCCAACCCCGCACATATGCCTGAGATATGAGGATTTCTTCCATGGTTTCTTGGTAAACTGTTCGCGCATGGAATCTCCGCCACATGGTCTGTAGAGCAGTCGCAGATCTACAATGAAGATCTGCGCGCATCTTGAGGTAGCGTTTCCGCTGAATGAAACATCGAACCAGACTCTGGAATCTGATCAGATCGCATATGATAAACATGTAATCCGTGTACTCCAGAAATCCTCGCCAGGCAGCTTGGATCTTTGTAGCGGCACGAAATAGTTGCCTTTGTTTCAGATAAGCAACATGTGCTTTGTACTTCCTCCAGTGGGATTGGATACAGCACGACGAATCAAATTCTCGCAGTCGTTGCCTCTCACCCCGATAGCGGATAAGCGCGGTGTGTCCTCGGTGCGCAGCCTGAATCATACGTGCAGACACATACTTCACGTAAACATCTCGTGCGACAAAAGAACGGAATCGAGATTGAAGAGCAGTGGCGGCTGATGATTCTTCTTCTGAAATTTTTGCAGCCAGGCGGATTTGATGGGAGGCCATCTTCAATCCCGCCGCCTTCTGCCTTCCCAAGAACCCACGAGCCCTAGCTTGTAGAAGTGACACATTCCATATGGACTCGGAGAACTTGCACCTGACCAAAAAACCGCGCACTGCGGCTTGAATCAGAACCATGCTCTGATAGCTAATCATGAATGATGACCAGTCCCAATACATTCTCCACCCTGCTTGAATGATTCTGGCAGACTTATTTTGTTGCAGCAGGAGTCGGAATGCCATGTGGCTTTTGTGGAGCTTCCATCGCACTTGAATGATACCAGCAGCCCAAAGCTTGAGTTCCTCTAGTCGTCGCTGCGCGTATCGCTTCGCTGACCACCTTCTCACCAACGTCTGCACGATGACAATGTCGGCAACGGCAAACATGTAGTCAGTGCGACTCACAAAGCTTCTCCAGGCTGCTTGGAGAACAATCGCAGCGTTCTCTCGCCGTTGTTGCTGAAGTTGACGGTATTGCTTCTGCTGATGGAAGCCTCTGATGAAGCTTTGCAACGAGACAACTGCCTTCATCTTTCTGCGCGCATTAGTTCTGCCCAAGAAGCCTCTAGCAACTCTTTGCAGCCGTGTGGCATATGCTGTCCTGTAGGCTCCAACCTGCCGTATTCCAGACCAACGCCGAGCCACACTTTGAACAATGATAACATTGGAGAGATACAGCAAGTACGTCATTGTTGCATTGAATGACCTCCACTGAGACTGAATCTTAGTGGCCGACTTGACTTCAAGCTGATGCTGGCGCTCCTCCCTTAGCCGAGTGACTTTTAAAATTGCACGCCATTTCCTCGCCATAGATTGAACTATGACAACATCTGCAATGGTGAACATGTAGTCAGCCCTGCACACAAATCCTCTCCAAATTTTCTGGATTGCAATTGCAGCCTTTTCCCTGTGGACAGCGCGCACGTGCAAATATTTCCTTTTCTGAAGCAACCCACGCGTACGGCTTTGGAGGGATACAATAAGGTACATTCTGGTACTTGCTTGTCTCCTTGCAATGAACCCTCTGGCCACCCGTTGCAATCGTAAGGAATACTCTGTCTTGTAGGCTGTAACATGTCGTGTACCAAACCACCGCCGTGCCACAGTTTGTACGGTGATGACATTGGAGAGATAAAGCAAGTATGCCATTGCAGCACTAAATGACTTCCATTGGGCCTGGATCATAGTGGCTGACTTGACTTCAAGCTGATGCTGGCGCTCCTCCCTTAGCTGGTTGACGTTTAAAGTTGCACGCCATTTCCTCGCCAATGATTGAACAATGACAACATCTGCAATGGTGAACATGTAGTCAGCCCTGCACACAAATCCTCTCCAAGTTTTCTGGATTGCAATTGCACCAGTTTCCCTGCGGACAGCGCGCATGTGCAAATATTTCCTTTTCTGAAGCAACCCACGTGTAAGGCTTTGAAGGGATACAATGAGGTACATTCTGGCACTTGCTTGGCTCCTTGCAATGAACCCTCTGGCCATCCGTTGCAATCGTAAGGAATACTCTGTCTTGTAGGCTGTAACACGCCGAATATCAAGCCACCTGCGCACCACACTTTGGACCGTGATCACATTGGACAAGAAGAGAAGGTAGGAAAGAGCGGCAGAAAATGATCGCCATTGGGATTGGATCATCGTAGCCGCGTTAACTCTCTTCTGATGAAACAAGTCACTGCGTTTCTTGCGGACAAACTTGGAAGCCGACCGCCGTCTCCACAGACTCTGCAAGACAATAATATCAATGAGTTTGAACTGGTAAAGGAGTCGGCAGTAGAATGAACGCCAAGCGGATTGAATGATGATCGCTTTCTGCCGCTTGAACTGGTAGTCTTTCCTTGCAATGTATCCGCGTGCAGCAGTTCCAACCAGGAGAGCAAGTCGACGTCGCACCATTGCCTGTCGTCTAGCTTTAACCGCTCGCCAGCAATTCTGAACGACGGTAATTTTGTAGATGTCTTCATAGACGACCATCGTGCTTAGGTAGCCACGAACAATTCGTTGAATCTCAACAGCAGCAAAGGTTTGCTCCATTAGGGAGCTTTGCACTTGGTACATTCGCCACTGAGACTGGATGAGAATCAAGGCATTCATTCGCTTCGACGCTAGCTGGATGGCTCTTCGGCGTCGGACAAGATTTTGCACAATCATTACTTTGTAGATTTCTTCGTAGACGTACAACACAGCCAAGTAACCTCGAACATGGCGTTGGATTGTTACACAAGCCCGCTGCTTTCTCTCCTGCTTTATTCTGTTAACAAAGGCCACGGCCTGCCTTTGACGCACGAAGCTCTGGACAGCAATAATCTTGTAGATCTCCTCATAGGCAAACAGCATAGCCAAGTGACCTCGGACATAACGCTGGATCGTGACTGAGGCCCAATGATCCCGTTCCTTTCTCATTCTGTCGATCAAGGCAACTGCTTGTTTTCGGCGAACAAAGTTCTGAATTACAGTGATTCTGTAGATCTCCTCATAGGCAAACAGCATAGCCAAATGACCTCGGACATAACGCTGGATCGTGACTGAGGCCCAATGATCCCGTTCCTTTCTCATTCTGTCCATCAAGGCAACTGCTTGTTTTCGGCGAACAAAGGTCTGAATTACAGTGATTCTGTAGATCTCTTCATAGACTTGCATCGTTGCCTGGTGACCACGGACATGACGTTGAATCTCCGTTGCGCACAAGTGTTGGAGCTCCAATGTCTGACGCCACATGGTACCCCGAGCCCATGCCTGGATGTAGATAAGAGACAAGTACCGACGATTGGCCTCGCGTTGTGCTTGTCGTCTACGCCAGTGAGCTTGAACAACAGTCACACTGTAGATCACTGCATAACACTTCATCGACGCCTGGTGTCCTCGTACAATCCTCTGTATCTCAGTTGCGCAGTAGTCCTCCAAGCACAAGCGTTGCCATACCAGCATACCTCGGACAACCCTCTGAATTTGAATCGCGCAGTATCGTTGCGATTCGTAACGCATTTCCTGAGCGTACGCTCTGTAGCGGGATTGGATAACCAGGGCAGCCCACCATTGAGTCAACAGTCTTCTCCCAACCAAAAAGCGACGAACCGCCGCTTGAATAGGGACAACAGACCCTGAAAGAAGCCTCAAGCCAGCTCTGGCAACCGGATCAGCCACTTTCTTTTCATCATAGAAGTCAAACACACTTTTCATGGGCCCAGTGTTTTTCGGCGTTCTTCCACGGTTGTGTACACGTGGCCGGTGCAAGACCTGGCGCAGTTCCGTCAAACGGCGAGAAGGCTCCTGTTGTTTCCCCACCGAAAAAATGCCAGCACGTAACGAGTCTTCATCTCCAGAAGATCCAGAGCCTTTAGAGGAAGACTTACTAATGGAAAGGGCTGTGTCAATCTGGAAATTTTTGGGCCTTGCTTGTTGCTTTGTCGTTGCTTGGGTTGGTTTCTGGCGCTGACCGGTGCTTCCCGAAATCGTAGATGTAACGCTTGTTGAATCCGATGTCAGCACGACGTGTGAAGGCTGCTTTGCATGTTCTGTAGACTGAATGTTGTACTTCCTTTGATCGCGCTCGGAGGTAATGTTCGATGCCTTTGGGAGTTCCTTTTTCGGCTCTGTTGTTGCTTGAAGAAGTTGGTCCCCACTTGTGACGACATTCATGATTTGAGAAGTGGAAGGCAAAGGTGGCGAACGATTCTTGAATCGCATCGCCTGCTTGGCACGAGAGCTAATGCGACTGGTGTGACCTGTCGGCTTGGCCTCGAAGCCAGAATCAGCTACTTCCCTTGAAACAGTGTTCGCTGATTCAGACGAAGATGTAAGGCCCACTTTCGTTTTTTTCACAGTAGCTGAGCGAGTACCAGGATAAGTTGTCGCTACCGGTAAGGCTGCCGCCGAATTGCGAGAGGCAGCAACAGTAGAGCGATGAGCGGCAGAAGTCCATTTCTTCTTGGAAAATGTCGAACTGTTGCCAATGTTCACTCTAGTCTCTGGCTTTGGTTTGGGTCTGGTTCGCCTGGTTGGTGAGGTTGCCAATACATGCAGAGTCGACACATCGTCAGAATTGGACTCATTTATGGTCAGTGCAGGCGAATTTTTCTTTTTCGGAGCCTCTTGAGCATCTGCCGTGTTGGTTCTCGCTTCCTTCTTGTACTTTGCTTGATACCGTTGCGGTAGCTTACTCGATGCTAGCCTCCTTGCTGGCGACGAGGTGGTACGAGGGTTTTGGTTTCCGCCATCTGCCGCCTTTTCTTCAACTTCCTGGGCCCCTTGATGATTGGGAAGCTTGTTCGCTGATATCCTCCTCACTGGAGCCGAAGCTGTGCGAGGATTGTGGCTGCCACTAGCAATAGCTTTCGAGGGAACAGCATTGTCTTCAGTTTCCTTGTGCTTCACTTGGTGCTTCTGAGCCTGTTTGCTGCTTGCTGATATGCTTCTAGCTGGAGAGGATGTAACGCGCGAGTTTCGGCTGCTGCTGCGTAATCTGTTTTCGCTTTTCTTCACAACAGCCTTTGCTTTTGCCAGCTTGTCTTCAATTTCCTGATCACGTTTACGTGCATTGTATGTATTCTGTTGATTTGCGCTCGTCCTGTTGTTGGTCTCTGCAGCGCGGTTCGGAGCTTTGTGTTCCACCTCCGGCTCTTCATCTTTTGAGGTGCTGCTACTAGAGACTTGCCTTGTGATGGACCGATTGCTCATGGACTTGCGGATGGAACGGTTCCTTCGCACTGATCGGACATTCCCAGGTTGACTGGCTTTTCCCTCTTCTGGAGCAGGAGAGGTCACACTTTCTTTGTGCGGGACCGTTGTCGGCGCCTTCTTCATTGTACTACTGGGCGACACGAGAGAACTCGGAGCAGGAGGTTTCTTGTTGGATTCAAATTGAGCCTTTGCTTGTTGAACTACATTTGTTGTCGGTGGCAGAGGCTTGACGGATGGCACATTGGAAGGCGACCGTGATCGAAGTTTGCGTCTAGCCGATGGCGACATGGACCGAAGCGTCTGCCTCGTAAGTTTTGTAGACGGTGATTCCGTCGTTGGGACTCGACCTCGAGCTTCTGGTGTCGGAGACGTGACCTTGGGAGACATGGGCTGAGCAGCCGCTGGTCTTGGTGGTCGCGACGGTGTCGTGTCCATTCCGTCGGGTTTGGCCATTGTCTGGAAGTCATCCGTCTTCATCTCGTCTTCAAAGGTCGGAAAGGCAGTGTCCTTTCCAAACAGCGCCGTGGCATCGTCGTCCGTGCTGGCACCCCCAAAGAGCTCCTCTGATGATTTGGGAAAGGGTTTCTTTTTATTGGAAGACTTTGCAAAGAACGGATCGGAAAAGGTATCATTCTTTTCCCACGAATCCATGGAAGCCTTGTCCGCCATGAAGAAGTCACCCATATCCGGCGACGAGGGTCCTTCCTCGTCAATCTTTTGAATTTTGGGATCAGGAGTGCTGGGGCTCTTGGGTATATGATGCTGTTGTGCGACCTCCTCCATGGTCATTGTTGCCCACGACTTGGGGTCAAGCGTCTGAAAGTACGTTGGATTGGTCAAGTTGCTGACCGTGGTGTCATCGCAATCATCCTCTGCCGACTCTCTCCGCGGTCTATGGTGGTGGTTGGAAAAGTACGTGGGCGTCTTTTGTTGTGCCGGTTGATCAATGGTGGCCAACTCCAACAAACTGGATTCAAATGCTTCTGGATTGGACTCCGATAACTTTGTCGTGATGAGTGGTTTGGACTTGTTCTTGCTGTTGCGAGAAGTGCTTTGACTGGCCTGACTGCTGGTTGTCTCGAAACGTTCTTTCATTTTGTTGACAGACAAGCGCCCGGGAGAATCGATAACGTCCCCCACGGTAAATGTAGCCGGAGACTCCATCTCCAAGACAATGGGCGATGATGGAGGCTGGGGAGATGACGGGACCCGCTGTGGCGGTTGTGGCGGCTGTTGCTGTTGCTGCAGTTTGTGGTGCTTGCTGTGCTTACTGCCACCCCCAAAGAAGGACTTGAGGAGTCCCTTTTTCTTCTTTCCTTGCTTGTCATCGATTGCCGAGTAGATGGACTTGGGGGATTCGTTGGCAATGCTCATGCTTTTACTATTGCTGCGTCCAAAAAAGCCACGAGGACCCCGTTTGCTGGGCGTGGGAGTCTGCTGTTGTTGTCCACTCATTTGTGATTCCATGGCCTGCAATCGTTTCGCTCGTTCTTGTGTGACACTTAGGGCTTGAGCTTGGGACATGACGGGACGGTTGTTTTCATCCAACTTGCTGCTGCTGCTGCTGTTCTTGGCCAAGAATGGGTTTTGTTGGACACTTCCCTTGGGGATTTCCGTCATGGGATCCCATGTGGCTGTGGAATGGGCCGGGGAGTTTGCCTTGGTACTGACCTTGACGCGAGCCATGGGTGGTTGTTGTTGTTGCTGTTGTTGCTGCTTGTTCCAACCTTTTCCACTATTCCTGCTCTTGCTATCTGTACTCTTTTGATCTGGTGGAGCCGGTGGCACTGAATCATCGGATACCATTTCTTGCTTGTCATCTTCCCAACGATGCTGTGAATGCTGGTGGTGGTGTTTCCAGTCTGGTGGACGAACATTGCTGGTCAGATTTTGGCGTCCCTTGTTGGACTGCTTGTTGTTGCTGTTGTTATTATTATTGTTGTTGTTCCGAGAAGGACTTTCCTTGTTCTTCTTGGCAGAAGGAGATATGGTGAAGATACCCCGACGCACCATCTTGAAAGACAATTAAGCTTCAGTTAGACAAGATAATGAATGAAAGGGTAGCACAACCTAGAAAAGAGCACTACAGAACCTTACTAGCTCTGCTTTGTTGATTATCTGTTTTATTCCTGAGTGATTGATGTTCACAGAAAAATCTCTCCAAAGACTGAATGAATCGGAGACTTTACTGGCCTATCCTATGGGTATACTCCAGATAATACCCAAAACACACGACGAAAACAACTCCAACCTAACCTAACCGAACAACCAACTCAAAGCACTGCACCAGACCAGTCAGTTCAAGAACTGCACTGGTGGGCTTCTCCGCCTGGTTGTGGTAGCTAGCTAGAGTTGTTGTGTTGTACGGCCCCCGTCGTTTTTCGGATGTGAATCCCCGTCGCTTCTTCGTCTTCTTGGTATCTGTCGATCAATCCCTGGATGATCGATGATGAAAGTGATCAGAGAAAAAGGGCGGGCTGCTTCTCTTTCTCTCGTATGAATTGGATGAGGTACTATTATCAATATACTCAGCCAGACGGTTCTTCTTGAGATGATGTTCCTCAAGGCCTCATCGTTGTTGAGTGGGTGTCCATTGGCGAGGACAAGAAACCCTCACTCGTTTTTTGCAAACGCGCGGCGCACCTGTTGGCTCTTCCACTAAGTATCCTTCGATATCGGCGATCCTTCCTAAGTACCGTGCCGATTTTGGTTCGAGGTCTCCTTTCCCACAAAATTTCATACTTAGCAGGGTGGGATTGGAAAGTAACGAAGTCCAATCTGTAGGGATAAGGATACAATTCCACGGGATAGCGGTACTCTACTTCCGTAGTCTTCGCGGTACCATTGTACCGTTAGCTATTAGATCCGGAGGAAGGACCTCCAAGGTTCCATCATAGGTAAACGTCCGGGAGAAGATCTGCTCTGGACAAGCATTCAGATTGGAACAGCATGGTGGAACCTCCCGTGTCCCGACAAAGGGCATACCGGTAGGCTGAAGGCTTTGGTACAGCCACTACATACACAGATACTTGGGCCACTCCAGAACCCCTGGACCTATCTCCAGGAACACCCACGATAAAGAAGGATTCAAACAAAATGACCGTCTCTTTAGCCTTTAAGTCATATAGCCTAACTGCTTAATCGTGAATGTCGGTAGAATGTCGGAATTCTGAACCGGATGTCACCACTATGTCGGAAAATGTCGGCGTTTGTACGAGAATGTCTGAACTTGTCGGAAAATGTCGGCAGAATGTCGGAAGGTTTCTCAGACATTTAAGCGAGTTTTTCCGACATTTAAAACGGATGACTTTCGCTGGTTAACTCGTGTTCTTCACTGGTTCCTACTTTCTTTCTGATAGAACCCTACGATTCGGAATGATTTAAGTAACTCAACGGCTGTTCTTAAATCATTCAACGGTCATCTAATCGTCAATGTCGGAAAAGCATCGCCGAAATGTCTGCATAATGTCGGAAAATGTCGGAAAATGTCGCGTTTGTATGAGAATGTTTGCACTTGTCGGAAAATGTCTGCAATGTCGGCACTTTGTCGGAATTTGTGGGGAAACTTTCTTCTGTCATTTAGGCCATATGATTTAAGCGCTAAGCAGTCTTATATCTTTCAAAATGACTTTATCGTGGGTGTTCCAGGCCTCACGCCTCGAACAACTCCAGGACCTTCTCCCAACTGGCCCACTGGCTCGACCAAGTACCTCTGGTTCACCAGGCTAAAAGTCTCATCATTCCTGGTCCCAACCTAAACCAACACCAGGCCCTACTCCCAGATCAACTCCAGGACCTACCGTACACCTCGCCCCACTCCCAGTTCAGCTCCATATTGGCTGGTCTCCAGGCAGGCTACTGGTCTCATTCCAGGTCCCAACCTGAACCAACACCAGGCCCTACTCCCAGATCAACTCCAGGACCAATACCTGGCCCCAGCCACTTCCAGTTCAGCTCCACTTTGGTTGGTCTCCAGGCAGGCCCTCTCACAACCTGAACCAACTCCACGGCCTAACCTTTGACTCACTCCAGGTCCCATACCAGGACCTACCCATGGTCCATCTCTCGGCCTCGCTCCTGATCCCACAACTGCACCAACATCAGGACCCACTCCAAGGCCTCACCCTGGACGTATATCGGATCCAACACAAAACACAGCCAGCTACCGTAGCCAGTGTGATCATGAGAACCGTTTCAGAAAGACTTCTAACTAAGTGCACATTATTTTGTCAAACTAGCTAGACTTTTGTTACACGACGGGCGCTGTGAAAACTTATGGAATCATCTCTGCCAAGGATCTCTTTGCCAAATGCAACTCCTTGTCTCCCGAAGGGTATCGACCAATTCTCCAAAATCCTCTCCACCGCATCGGAAGCAGATAGATATCATCGTCGTCGTTAGGTATACAGCGTTACATAGCTACAAAAGACTACAGTATGAGTGAGCACCGGTAGTTGCAAACCATCAAGACTGGCATAGTGCGACCACCAAAAGGAAGAATCTTGTTGATCCGCCTCAGCTTTATCATCTCTTGCTTGCTAGCTAGAGTGGGTCTAGCCAGTTCATCCACAAAAAGATTACCGCATGCACAGTGCCTGTTTTCAACGCAGCCCACGAGCCAGTATACGGTAGCTTCACCGCTTCAATGGCTTATTTCATATTCCTTGAAACTGCCTTCCTTTTTTTGCCATCGAAGGAGTTAGTTGAAAGTTCTGGCGAACTACAGCACTGATTCCATCCCAGCCATCTTTCCCTGCCAACCTTGAAACTGATCAACTTGGCGAACACTTTGATCAGTGGCATCATCCCAGACAGCATCAATCTGTCATCTTGGGAATGGAGGTTTGCTCTTTGCCTGATCAATTATTAAAAGTCTACTCTATCATCTGTGGTTGTCCCTGCTATTCCCGAGGGGGGTGGGCCAAATACGTACATGAACAACTGGATATCTCCTTGTTCGGCACCATTCTCTTGCCAGCAACAGTACCGTAATAGTCGCCATACCTATCGTTAACCTAGTAGCCATACCTATCGATCGTTACCCTATCTATCCTGGGTTACAAGTTCCATTGTCGTTTCTTGTTGTGGGTTGTTGCGGTTTGTTTCCATCAACGCTTCTTGATGGCTCTACGAGTGCTACTACTACTACTCCGACCACGACTGGTGCGACTCAATACCGCTTGTTTCTTTTTTTGTTCGACGCGTTGATTGTGCAATTCCATTTTCCCCGCTTCGGTGGTGGGTTCTCCACTGGCATATTTTTGGGCATATTCCATGGCCTCCTTCAATCCCGGCGATTGACTAGTAACGCCTGGCACCGGTTTGGGAGCATCCCAAATCCCAGCCGCTTTCTTGACGGCGGGCATTTTGAGTGTGGTGATTTGTATCAGCGTAAACAAATTGTTGACGGTCCAATAACAGAGAACCCCGGCATGGAATGTGGATAGAATGTATACCATGGGTACCATCATGAATCGAAAGAACATGATAATGTTCCCGGCCATGGCAGGATTGGATGCCATCATTTGATCTTTGCCCATTTCGATGGACGCCACAAAGGTTCCCATACAAATGCCGGGGAGAATCCACGTGACATTGGGGTCGGGAAGGAATCCTCCCAGTAACGTCCAATCGAGCAACATGGTCTGATTGAGATCGGGGAACCAGAGGACGCCTCCCGTGGCCATTTCGGCGGCAAAGTAATCGGGCATTTTTTTGAGTCCAAAGAACATTCCGAGAAAGAATGGGAATTGAATGAAGGGCATTAACATGGATCGAAAGGGACTGACGTCGTACCTCCGAAATAGGTCTTGTACCTTTTTGCCCATTTGAATCTTGTCTTCTGCGGTGGGATTCCGAATCTTCTCAAAGTTGCGTTTGAGAACTTCCAATTCCGGTTGGACATGGGCCATGCGGGAAGCCGATTTTTGGGTGGACAAGACAATGGGGAACAAGACGAGACGGACCGCCAACGTGGTCCCCATAATGGCAGTCCCCAGTTCCACTCCGGATAATTCTTGTACTTTGAAAATCATTTGGATGCATTGGTCACTGAAGTACCACCATGTGGGGACAAATTCCAAACTGGTATTGGCGACTTGTTCGGCTGTCAATTGGAGATTGCTTTGTTCTTGAAACAGTCGTTCCAACGTGGCGTCCACTTCCGTGCTGCTATTATCAGTATTGCTGATAGTGCTGTCGTCGGTAAAGGTGGTTTCCTCCGTCTTGTCACCAGAAGAAGAAGTGGCAAACCCCCGTCGTTGAGGACGGCCCAGCATGACTGTGAATTGTGGTCTTGTTGTTATTGTGCTACCAAAAGTTGAAGTAGTAGGAATGTGATGATGATTCAGGGAACGCAGCATTGTCCTGACGGCCATGTCACTAGTCTGATTTCTCTTGTGTCGGTCATTGTGGATACTGGTGGTCGAGATAGAATGTACCAAGAGATCCGAAATGGATGACAGTTGAACCGGTACATGATGATGTGCCACTCTACTTCTACTACATGTACTACTCAGTACTACCCCTCGTGGCTTCAGTCTGCTGCCTATTGCTCGGAACATGGTGGCTGCTGCTTGGTCTTACATGTATGTACAAACAACAACTAGCTAGACTAATGTTATGGCTGCGGTTGTTGCCGACTTTGGTGATTGGTTGAGTGTGTGGACGTTGCTTTGCTGAGGTGGCTGGGAGAAAGAAAACTGATGGGTGGCCACGTGGAAGCCACGATTATTTGCGCGATCTCGCGCAGAAATCATAAATTAGCCTGAGCCCTCCGAGACATGCATGGCAGTAGACTTGGTCGCGGTCACGACTTTCACGATTATTCTTGCTTGCGAGAGCACAGCATGATCCTTTAAATGTGAAGAAGACTAAACTGGCATTCTTGAAGGAGAGGGTTTAATAATGGGTTGAAGTATAGTAAATCCATGGCCACTTTCTCCTAAGAGTCATTGGAGACATTCAGTGTCTTTTACGTACGTTTGGGTTCCGGAAGTGGATGACCACGTCATTGTTTTGTTTCGGGAAGTTTTCGCCCACAGAACATATTCTTCTGGTTCAGGCTTGGTTTCATTCGTCCTCGACAAACTCGTGCTGCGAGGTGGCTGTTGCATCATATTATCATGCAGTCTCCCATCATCCAAGCACCACACCAACTATTAAGCATACTACACAGCAGGACCCACAACAGCAATAGCTTGGACGCATGCTTAGAGGGTCTCATTAAAGTGGAACTAAAACACCACAACTCTCACCTCAGAAACTACTTTTCCAATCTGTTGGAGTACTCTCAATATTTTTGGGCCATTGGGTATAACATCACCGCACTCCTGACGGCTACCACTACTACAATCTACTTACCACTACTCGTTCTATTACTACTACTGGAAGAAGAAGAAGAAGACAGCATGGGCGGAGGAGGCAATACTGGCATGAAGAAGCAGCAGAGATGTTCGTCGTGTCATTCCTTGACAAGTCTGTGCAACGAGCACAAGAAGCACTGTCAAACACAGACAAGGCCAGAGTTGGAACCCACGGCCCTCTTTCTCTCGTCGTCTCCTACCAGTGTCAGTGCTTTGGGAGCATCAACACAAGTACCACAAGAACGACTCTACCTGCCTCGCGTGGGTACGGCGCCCTGTTCGCTCGATGTCTACCTGCAATCCATTCCCAGTGTGGCATCCCGCAGTCAACAGCTGTCATGCTTGTCAAGCAAAGACAACAATCAGAACAACAACATGTCGACGCAACGCTGCTTAAATGTCTTGCAAGGTGAGGTGGCTCATGCCACTCCCGCTCAAACCGACGTCTTGGTCAGTGCTGAAGCGACCACGTGTCATATTGTCGCCTTGCGATCGACCCAAGGCCCCGACAGTGTTCCACTGGGTAGCATTGCCCATGTCGATCAAGCACAAGTCTACAATGATTGTCTCGAGAAAATGGTACAAGAACACATTCAACATCACATCAAACAACATCAACAACAACACGACGACGACTTTGGATTCTTCATGGAGGACGACGATGACGACAGTGACTGTGACGACGACAGTTACTGTGACAACCATCACAACCACCACAATCACAACCATCAAAGTACCAGTTCCTTTTTACCACCCCAAGTCGCTCCTCCTCCGAAACGTCGTCACAGTTCACCTAACGATACGATAAAAATGGAACTTCACATTGCCGGAGGATACCTCGATGACGAAGGAACGTCACAGTCCATTAGCGACAATCTCGTACGGACATTTTCCGATTTGGCACTCAAATATGAAGATCAGATTCAAATGTCACTCAGCACCGCCCCAGTGACTGGCTGTATCAAATGAAGGCCTCTGATGGCTTATGCTTCGATGGTCCCCCAACGCGGCCTCTCCTCTATTGAGGTAGTTTTTGTTTGATTGTGTGACCAACCCCATTATATTATCAGTCCACTTCGTTGTTGTAAGGGGACCAAGCAGTCACCACCAAGCCGGGAAGACGACCACCATTGTGGTTGACAGGCGCAGAAAACCCGCAGAATAGGGGACAGGCCTCAGGATCTGAAGCCACAGGACCCGCGCAGGTGTGGAGGAGTTCGCAGTGCCGGGAGGTAGAGGGTATTACTTGTCAGAGCTAGTAGTACAGTCAGGTAGACAGTTAACGTTTTATAGTAGGACCACCTTAGTGCGCCCGTTCCCGGTTGTGGAGTCAACAACGAACTCCGTCTCTCGCTGTCATTCACACGGCCGATAGTGTTGATGGGAACATTACCATTGATCCATTCCCGTATCAACCGCAACCCCAACTCAATGCCTTGTTGCGGGTCGATGATACGACCCTCCTACAAGTGGCATCCACGTCGCCCCAGTGCGAATCGGAACGATTTTGCAGTGATCTCCGACGGACCCTCAGTTTTGTCAATACCGTACCCGCTTCTCGGGTCTTTGGGGGTAAAGAACAAGAGCCACCACGACCGCTCGTCTACAGTCGATCGGCCAATACACTCAATCAGTGGGAACCAACCACCAGACGACCCGGCGATCGCGCCACGTGACGGCCCCGCCGTAACTGCCATAATAAAGTTGTCTCTTCCTTGTTTTGCTTTTTCGAGCGGCGGAGTCTGTGCCGTCTCTGATGATTGCCTCTTGCGCTCATCGTCGTTTGGTTGCGGTAAGTTTTTGTTCGACTCGACTACAACGGTTGTTCCCCCTAAATTCCCCGTGCTAACAGTTGTGGAGTTATTGCTTTCTTTTTGGCTACTTAGAGTTCCCCTTGGCTGTCGCCTCATAGCCACCTCCAGTTTGCCATCCATCTCTCCAAGACTAGGAGATCGCTGCCTTGTTGATCTGGATCTCTCTCCATATGATTTCACGGCAAGAATGTCAGGATGAGAGCCAACCTCAATTTGATGAGATTTTAAGAGTAAGTCTTGCCATAACTCTTCCTCTTTGTTGAGTGGAAGAGATGGTACTTCCTTAGATCTAGAGAGGAATATTAACCTTCTCCTCTTTTTCTTTGCTTTGGTGCCATCAATAAGGAATCCTTTGAATGTGACAGCCTGTGCAAAGTGAAGAGGTGTGCTGTTGCCATTGTTGTCGCTGTTGCTGATTTGGATCCCATCCATTGCCTTTGACAGTTGCCCTGTGGCCACATCCTTATTGTCCACATTGTATCTCTTGCAGATGACTGCTTTGATGGCATCAAGGGTCAACCAACAGTCCTTGAAGGGAGAGACATTGTCTGCCTTATCGGCATCAAGGAGATCAACCACTAATCCAGCCAGGAATTCTCTGCTGAGCTCCATGACACACCTTGGAGATAGCTGAGTCCCTTCAAGGGGTGGCTCTGTGAGTGTGTTGGGGAGCTAGTCCTCTGACAGACTCAGCTAGAACAATGTATTGGTAAAGCTAGAGACCATTTGGCCAACACTGTTGCCATGGTGGTAAAATTGATTTTTTCTTTGTTCTTTGTTATTCTCTGCTGCTGGTGGTGAACCAGTCATTTTGCCGCAAACCAGCCACGATTCGCGAAATGACCACTTCCGGGTTCCCATTTCCGAAAACTGTAAAATAACCGTAAAATCGAATCGTGAAACGTGAAATGAATCTTCTCCGGAGTGCCAGTCCGTACCACGGAACAGAACAAACAAATAAATAAATAAATCGGTACTGGAAACGGTATCGGCATTTTTTGAATCCGACTCGCTGAGCTCCCGGCACTGGCTGAGCTCCTGGCATGAAACAACATCAGATCACCAAGAAGCCATCACACCTCATTTTTTCTTGTCACACCTCCCTCCTCTGAAGTAGATATACCTTGTCACACTTGTAGCCACATCTAGAAGATACCCCCAATACCGACATTGTTAATATCGACGTGCCCGTCGCAGCCATTATATCTAGAAAGCCATTTGGTGGCTGTGTAGTTACTCAGTGGTTAGCCAACTGGCCGTTGCCATTTTTTCTTGATTTTTGACTTTCTGGCATCAGTGGCAGTGGTGAAAGCCATTTCCCAGGCCCCAACCTCCATTGCCTTTCATAATGGCACCACCGATGAAGCCTAGGAAGCCCAATGCATCCACATCTACCCCGGTGATACCTGCCAAAAGGAAGAAATCGACGGTGGATTCCCAAATTGAATCAACCGTCTCGATCCACAAAACCAGCCAAGGGCTCACTCAAGCACAGAAGAAACTGAACGAAGGTATTGAGCTGCTACGTTCCAAAGACAAGAATCTCAGCAAAGCTAAACGAAGCAAGATTCTAACCGACATGGTAGAGGTTCAGTCATATTTGGGGCAATGCGCTGCTAGTTTGAACAAGGACGCCAAAACTGTTTCTCCTATTGCTGGACTCGACTACGGGCTAGCCAGAATGGCCACCGCTGAGAAGAATAGAAATCTAAAAGCTATTCGTCTTGGCCTCAATGATAATAAGGAGAATGATGATCCACAAGTTGCTGCAGCCAAACCCCCCCCCAAGAAAGGTATCGCTGCCTTCTTGCCCCCTTCCAAAGGATGGGATGGAGTACACTCGCCTCGAGTTCTTGCAAATCATTACTGCTTACCCCAGTCGATCGGATGCTCGCTCCAGCATCATGAATGAGGCCGTGGAAAAGAAATGGGTTCCGGTTCAACCACCAGCAATTCGGAAAGCAATTCGGAAATTCAATGATCATCTGAGCTCGGGTGGAACGATTAATACGTTTCCTGATCATCCTTGGTTTGCGGCCAAAGGTGGCAGACCTTTGCTTGATATGAGTGATGTATTCAATGTTTCTACTGGTTTATCCACCAATCATGGCAGTTCCCTTGGATATGAGCAAATTGAATCTGTCATTACTACAACAACAAAGAAGAAACTGGAAACAAATGGCATATCTGTTCTACGAAATGAGGCTGTTTCTCCCTGTCGAAATACAGTGTCAAACTATGGTGGAGCGTTAGCTTTGCTTTCTGGTACCAGTTGTACTGCTTCCAAGGTTACCAACAAAACTCCCACCAGAGAAACTGCCGAGAACTCACTTCGTTCCAGTCAAGCATTTGCCGCTGCTGTTGGCACCTCTCACTACATGCCTACAGAGATCGAGTATCCAGAGGTTAGGACATATCTCAATGAGAAAGCTACAGACTCAGAAAGACATGTCTATAACACCATCAGTATGCTCCACAAGGGTGGCCCTCTGTTGCCGGTTAAGAAAGCTCTCATTCTGTCTTCCGATGATACAACTGAGTGGATCGTAGAGGGATTGAACAGAAAGAATATCGATAAAGTTCGATTCACTCATAGCTCATCTTACAATGGCAAGGGTACTCGATCTGTCTACAGAACTACCAATGAAGCAATGGCAACTGGAATTCGAGTGAAACTCAGTGTTACAATGACTGCTGCTGGTTGTACAGCTCCATTGTTTGTGTCTATCACTGGATTGAGTGACAGAGAGCTCATTGATCAGGACAACAACGACTCAGGTGTCCTGATTCTTGAAATTCCGGGTTTGTGCATTGGAGGAGGCGGTGTCACTGCTGGTAATCGGGATATTGGATATGTTGTCTTTGTAAGGAATAACAGAGACAAGCAAACGGATCGAGTCAAATATGAAGCCTACACAGATAGAGTGCTCATCCCATTCATTAATCAACTTCGAAAGTTGCAGCCAGGAATGCCTCTTACTGAAGATATGAGAGCTGTGACATGGTGTGATGGAGACCTTGCCCAACTAGCAACAAATGTTGATGAGGGTTTCATTCAAAAGTTCAAAGATGCGAAGATTTGGGTTTGTAAGCAATCAGCTGCCCGAACTGGCACCGAACAACCATGTGACTTGTGTCCTGGCTTCAAAAGCATACACTTTCAACAAAAGAATTTCACAATGCAGGATGTGCCTAGAGGTGCTGATGATTGGAAAGATGAGGTTGTGGAAGTCATACAGAAAGCTGATTCACTTGGGCTGAACCTGCCAGACAACAAGCTGAAGGCCTTAGCTGAATTCATTTGTGGATTGCCTCAGATTACACTCACGGCCATAACACCCAGGATTGTTAAGCATGGCTTCTACCAAAATGGCACCCTGGCTGAGCATAACAGTGAATCCAAATATGCATTTCCCAACCTTGACCGAATGATTTCTACTTGCAGAACAACAATTCCCACAACCCTTAGGCAGAAATGCTGGGATGACTATCCTAGGTTGGCTGCTGAGTGTATGACTCGTGGGATGGTCCCTGAGTCAGTTTTTGACGAGCTAGGGTATGACATGGATAAAAACCCAGATGGAATAGAAGTGCCCAAGCATCAGGGGATTTCTCAGGAGCACAGACAGAGAGCCAAATGCCTCACACATGAAGCTCAGGTTGAGCTGAGGCAAGCCAAAATGATAGCAGTGGAGGCTGCTTTGACAAGAAAGTTTAGTGAATGCCTCACAAAGCACAAAACTTTGAGTGATCTTAACAAAGAGTGTGAAGCCAAACTACAGGAGCTTGTTAATGATCCACAAGGTCTTTTGGGTCCTGTTGAGCCTACTTTGGAAAACTTTGGAAGCATTACTGCCCCAAGGCTGAAAGCCTTCATTCATGTGAGAACTTTCCCTACTTATACTACTGATAAAGGACCCAAAGACTGGACTGGGTGGCCTAAGAAGTCATCGGCTGCTGAAGCTGCCAATGGAGATCGATGTTTGGTGAGACTTGCTTATGACTGCAGAGACAAACCTTGTATTATGCAAAAGCTAGTCAAACCGGTAAAGGCAATGCCACAGCAGCTCAGGCATCTATCAGCTACAATTATCAGATCCAGCACATTGACATTTCATTCTGATGCGTATCCACTGGCTTCTTCTCTTTTGGCAGATGATACTTGGAGAGTCAAACTCATTGCTGCCTACCGGCTTGATAGTGAGACTACAGTCACTGTTACAGAGAGCAGCCTTGGGAGCGCTGACTACCTTCAAAAGAGACTCATCAAACGGCTGGAAGTTCATGTGACAACCAAGTTGGAAAAGTCAGAGCACAAAGAGAATTGGTGTTGGAATCTAACTGCCAGTAAGTTGGGGCATGTGTCGGCAATATTGATACTCTTTGGGTATGTCAAGGATGACCTGGAATGTTTGGATGAAACATCCTGTTTCCTACTCGACAATCCTGCTCTATTCCGTTTGGTCACAGAAGAGTTTGAGGAGGATGGTGTATACATGTACTGGGATACCAACAATATGCAGTGGATTAGGGTCGGCATGGTAGCTCTTCGCAGATTTTGGCTGCGATTTATTGAGCACAGCAAAATGGCACAACTCAAAAGTGGAGAATCTGGAGCATTCTATAATGCATATCCCTCCAAATATGCCAAGAAGACTGTTGACCCAGCTCTTCGTCGAGGTTACCATGAGAATCTAAGGCAGTACATCGCATTGGGCTATCCACTAGCCAAAGATGTGAAGGATCTTGTAGATGTGTTTGGTTTCAAGGCAGCAGACAATCGGTGGATCAAATCAATGCGCTATAGGACAAAGAATGGACAAGCTATTCAGCTGGCTGATCAGCAACGCCGTGCGCTGCATTACCTTATAGAATGTGGGTTGAAGCTTTGTCTTGCTCCTGCTTGTGACATTTCTGTTAATGCTGGCTGGGAACAAGCAACTGGATGCTATGGCAAGGATTAGCTATCTAGATAGCTTTTAATGTTACTAGTTGTAGTATTCACAGTGAAGTTGAAACTGTTGCTTATTGTTTTCCCTGCTGAACCAGCTGCTGTAGTGCCAGCTAAAGGGACAAAATAAAATTCTTAATAATGAGGTCAATTTGGTTCCGTAACCGGTGTTGTGACTGGTAGCCGGTTGCTTAATAAAACTAAGTAGTAAATGAGGACTGTCCACATATATACCGGGCAGACCCCGGTGATCTCTGACCCCGTTTATTGTGGTGGTGGTGGTGGTTGGTTGGTCATCCTTAGGGTTAGAGCTCTCATAAAATTGCCCCCCTCTGCACTCTCCCCCCATTTCTTATTGATTGTTTTGCAATTCTACTCCATCTTTCATACTTCTTTACTTTCCTTCTTCCACTTGATTCCTCTAAACAGACTTGACTCCCATTATTTGTACGACACCTGTGTGGTGCCTGATACTGGGTAATATCCCTGTATCTCTGGGCCTTTGTTGTGATGGTATTTGTTTGTTGAAGATCCTTAGGAATAAAGTTCTCACAACTGTTTTTGAATACGGTAGATAGTTTTTAGATTCGGCCCTTTGATATCTCTTAGACATATAGTTGAAAACCCATTGTTCCATATTTCTATTCTATCTTTGTATCTCTTTACTTCTCTTGGTTCCATTTCAGTCATCTAACGGACTCACCCCCTCTTTTTTGAAAATAATCATAGCAACAGATCCTGATTATTTTCCTCACATTTGCACACATCTCAACTCCCGTAAGCTACCACGCCACTTTCTCAGATGGAAAAATCTAACGTCTCATGTTGCACACCTCTAAACTCCCGTAAGCTACCACGCCACTTTCTCAGATGGAAAAATCTAATGTCTCCCGTTGCACACCTCTAAACTCCCGTAAGCTACCATGCCACTTTATCAGATGGAAAAATCTAACATCTCATGTTGCACACCTCTAAACTCCCGTAAGCTACCACGCCACTTGCTCAGACGGAAAAAATGACACTACCTTCAGCCAAACTGCAACAATATTACTATGCCGGCCCATCTTCTGGATCTTCATCCGGAACTGTCACTGGAGCGAGTGCTCTTCTTACTTCTGGGTTACTCGGCATTCTGTCTATTTAAGCTATTGTATCTGATTACAGAGTTGCCTAAATGTTCTATGCTCCTTAGAAAAAATGGCTTATGTCTCACAATGTCTCACTTTGTCTACCAATGTCTCACAATGTCTCACTTTGTCTACCAATGTCTACCAATGTATCACTTTGTCTACTAATGTCTACCAATGTCTCACTTTGTCTACACAGAACAGTACAAAATGTCTCACTTTGTCTAACAATGTCTCACAATGTCTCACAATGTCTCACTTTGTCTACCAATGTCTCACAATGTATCACTTTGTCTACTAATGTCTCCTAAAGTCGCACAATGTCTACTTTGTCTACTTATGTCTACTAACAGTGTGTAGATATTTACATAAGGATCACTTAATGGCCAAAACACTTTCCCAAACAGACAAAATGCCGAGTAACCCTGGAATGGCAAGTTCCTTGATGGCCGAAGAAAGAAATACTCAGCTTTTTGGATCATGCCTCTGTTTTCAGATGCATGCAAATCCCTCAATTTTTGAATGAGTTTGACTTGAAAAAGTGTTACTGCGTTCAACATGGACGAAAACTGGAGTGTCAACAGGCTCTGCATGAAGAGCTTCTACTAGAGAACTTCGAAATCGAAATCATTGAAGACGGTCGCGACGACGCCAATGACGACCCCAAGAAAAATCGGAAAGAGTGCGCAGACTGTGTCCATCTTGACTATGACGAAAAGTATTGTCGTTGCGTTTTTTGCGAGAAATTTGTGCATAATGAGTATGCGATGCACTGCCACAAGTCTGGATGCCACAAGACGGCGTGCTATTCCTGTGTTTACAATGATCTTGCTGTGATTGAATACTGCTACCGTACGACTGCCGTGAGTTTGCGTGCAACAATTGTGAAACACGCGATTTCTGTCAGCGTTGTCAGGAGTGTTTTTGTCGCACTTGCCAAAAGCTTGTAAATTGCTCTCCTTGCGGTGAGCCTCTTGGATGTGAGCTCTGTATTCAAGAAGATGGTGGGTATTGTTGCGAACGATGCGGAAAACTTCATTGCGAGATTTGCTGCATTGGATCTTGTGCCGATTGTGATGAGTTTGTGTGCAAGGAATGTGAACGATTCAATTTCTGCCGCGCTTGTGAGCAGCATTTCTGTGGCAACTGCCGCAAGCATGAAATCTGTGTGGATGGCAGTACTTTTACGTGTGAGCGCTGTATGGAACACTGCGCATGCGGGTGGTAGGTTCATTGGGACGATTGCTTTTGTGGTTGCAGTACCAAGCAATTCTGTAAATGAAAAGAAAAGAATGACAATACACAGTGCCAGGAGAGCTCCCAGAGGGGGCACTGTTCAGAACGATTCATACCACAAACAGGGTGGGCTCCTTTGACTGGTTGACCAGCAACATGTACTGTACACGAGTACGGTACACAAGGAGAAAGGGACACACCAGGATTTTACTAGACTATAATCTCGACTAACGTCACAATTGAGAGAATGACACTCTAGCTGGCTAGTTTTCTGCAGTCCTCAACTACACAAGGATGCATCCAAACGTCACCCCTTCTTCTTGTGCACGTAGCTCAAGATTTCCAGGCTGCCATACGCTGCAGACGCGCGACAAGATTCTTCATCCCATGTTTGATTGAGGACCGTAGGCCTGAAGTAAAGATTGGTCGGTGGGATCCTCTTATGCAGTGTTATGCAAGACCTTCTGAAGTCTAGATCTACAAGGAGCCCGCCCGGAACCGCGAACCATTGGTTCACAAACATGCATGGGTGGCAAGTGGCTTCCAAGTTTTCTGGGCTCATTGAACGTTGCGGGAGCTGCCCTTCGTCAATACAAGCCAGAAGCTTGGGTCTGGCTGCTAACTGGAGAGGCATCTGTGAAGCAACGTGCCTACTTGCAAGCCGGTAACGTAGGGTGGCTTGACGAGGTTTTCATCCGTGGAGCTGGGTTGGTTGCTCTGGACTTTCAATCTCACTTGCTGCCAACACACTAGCTTCTCTAGGTGTCTTGCGTGGGTTGGCTACTTTCCAAGTACCTTGTCACCAAAGACGACCCCTGCTTCTTCTGCGGCAAGCTCTGCGACACACTCATTGCTGAAAAGGGCGGACTCGGATTCGCGATCGTCCTTGAAGCAATCTTCTGCGGAATGTTCCTTCGCAATCTCTTCGAACTCTCCCCTGGCGATTGTCAGTTCTTTCGACTTAATGCTAGCAGTGGAAGAAACGTTGAAGTTGCTGACTTTGACCTTCCCACTTCCTGCCGTCCGGAACGATGTCTTTTGTTCAGCACTCTCAAAACATATTCGCATGCCTTTGGGAGCAACCATCAACAGCAGCGTCGTCATGACAATCACAAAGATCAAAAGGGACCGCCCGAGATACGCCGCGTTGGCAGAAGCGTCGTCCAGAATAACCAAAATTGGGATCCCCACAAGCAGGACTTGAATCTGTACAAAAATGGTGTAAAAAATGTAGTTGGAATCCGAGAATCGTTCCTCGATATCACGGCATTTGTATGCCATGACACCGCACCCAACGGTGGACAGGGCGAGGAGACAGATCAATGGAATCAGATATGGAAGCGAATTGTCGCTTTGGCATTTCCCGTAGGATTCGGCAGTGTCTTCATCAATGATCGAGCGTACCCATTGTCTGGGGTCTGCCGCAGACCATGCAATGAGAATCGCTACCGTCAAGAGCATGTTGACCACAAAGGGAATCAGCACTTTGGTCACGGTGACTTGTACGCGACGAAACTGCATGACCTTGTTGATGCGCAAGAGCTTGGAAAACAGAGCCAGATAGATAATATTGTATCCGGCAAATACCAGCCAAGGAGTCGCCGTGCAGGCCGCATCCAGCATGGAATCGGTCCATCCATACGATTCATCAAATGCCGACGTGAGTATGGCAAACGACATGATGGTGGCTCCCAGGATCAACAGTAGCAAAAAGGGTGGTTGAGACTGTCGAATGGGCCCTGCATCGGCCTTGACAATGACCAATGCCGCCGACGCCAGTGCTGCCAACAACGCCACGGCCAAAAAGAACAAGCCCGTCACGTGGACTCCCTTTTGCAGATAGTTTTGTTCTGGCAAGTCTCGATTCAACACGGGTGGCGTCGATAGACCATTCGAGTAGATAAAAGGAGCGTCGGGTCCATCCACCCATTCCCCCGTTTCGTCCGGCAGACCGTGATGAATGTCGGTCAGATGGTACGTGGACTCATTGCCGTTGTTGGTTCGAAAATTGTAGGTTCCAAAGACGACAGTGGCGGTGTCTCGGTTTCCTGAATATTCCCCCTGGTCGACGAATCGCACTCGTCCCGTGGCCCCCTCAAAGTCTAGTTCTTTAATGGCCAATCGGAGCGGATTGTTGGTGGATTTTTTCTTTTTGGGCGGCTGGAGTCTCCTCTGTGCTTGCTGTGACTGCTGTTCCAGTTGGTCGTGAGACTTTTGTTGACGAACACCTTTGAGGAGTGTTCGTCGTTTTCGTTGCCCACTTCCATCCGGTGGAGGACCACCACCATCAGGCGGAGGGCCATTGTCGTCAGGGGGAGGACCACCTTCAGGTGGAGGACCCCCTTCAGGCGGGGGCCCACGATCTCCTTTTGGTTGTTGCTGTTGTTTGTGTATCACGGCACATTTCCCCAACGCCACGGTCATAATGGCATCGTACAAGAATCCCGCTCCCGGCATGGGCATGTGCGTTTGAAAATAATCCGGCGGCGCCCGATAGTATCCCGTTTGATTGGGTGGAACGGGCAACGCCGCATTGACTCGATCGACAAAGGAGGCATTTTGTTGTTTCCAGGCTTGCAAGAATCGATCATCTTCTTCTGTCGAGTTCGTATACAAGAATCCATCCAAAGGAACCAGAGTGGCCATGCCCTGGAGTAATGTCGACATGTTGTGGTTCAACGCGGCGACCCGTGTAATGTCACTGAGTTGTTGCGTCCGTTCGGCCGCCAATACCCAGACGTACTTGCCACTATTGTTGTCGTCCAGCATTCCCAATTCGGCCGCGTGATCGGCAATGGCGGGCAATTGGGCATGAGGTGCACTGAGAATCATGACAATGTTGCGAATGCCCGCTTTCTTGATTTGTTGGAGCGCATAGCCGGCGCCGCGATTGGGCTCGTATCCCGTAAAGGGTGGCGCCAGAGCGTAACTGTCGTGTCGGGAGAAACAGTTGTGTTGTTGTTCAGTATTATTGTCGCAATCGCTACACAGAATTCCCATACTATTGCTGTCGATTTCTTGTCGCAAATCGGCTCCAAATTCGTGGGTGACGGCCACGGTGGCCAATACTTCTCGTCGTCCTTGTCGTCGTACCAAGTAATTGACAATCATTTGTCCCATGACGTGCAAATCGACATTGGTACTGACTCCCAATCCATTGTACCAACGGGGATTTCCAATCGACGTCGAATCAGCACCGTGCGTGACCATGGGAATCTGCATCCCCACGGCAATTTGCAGGGCGGCCAAGGCGGCGTCGTTGCTCGGTAATCCCACCAATGCCAAGTACTTTTGGTTGTCAAGAGCGACTTGTTGAATCAAATATTCCGATACGACCGTGGCATCGCCTTTCGAATCGACAAAGAAGGCCTTCAAATCCGTCAAATCGGGACACTGCGCCGCTTTGCGGTCCGCCAATCCTGGAACCACCGAGGAATCGCCCGTATCGAAATGATCCAATGCCAACAAACCGGCGGCCATTTGACTGAAACTCGAAGGATGCGTCAAACCGCCCAGTTGAAAGGGAAGCATGGCCAGAATACAACGGGGGTCTTCTTCGTCTTGTTCTTCGGTACTGCTAGCATTAGTCATCATCTCGTTGTGGCCGCCATCGTCCACTGCAAACTCTGGCTGCTGCTCGTCAGGAATCAACGAGGCAGAGTCCTCCTCTTCAGTGTTGTTGCTGTCGATAGTCACAAACGTCGACATCCCTGTTTCTAGGATGGAGGGGAGATATTTATGAAAGGTTCTCTCTGCAAGGGTGATGATGTGATGATCCTGCGATGGATTGCTTGGGTTCTGTACTAGATCTAGTATGGATGATGGACTTCGGCTGTATGGAGTGATTGGGGAAAAGTGCATGCTTGTGTTGGGAACTCCTCATGACTTTTCCTTGGAACATTCGTCCCCCTTTTGAGAATGAAGCGTCAATTTCTTGCCCCTGATCCCACAGAACCTAATCCTGAATTTCGACTGTTCTTTGCTTAAGCCTGGCCCCGGCTGGCTTCCGTAGATAATTTCCCTACTCTAATCCCCCCTATTCCTAAACAAAAAGACCGTATTGATTAGAAACGAACCGTCTACTTAAGGGTCGGACAGGGACCCGAAGGTTGGAGGTCTGACCGAGGGCTTAATTAAGGGAGGGCGCAAGCCGGACTGCCCGATGGTCAGGCCGGAGACCCATGGGGCACAGACGTCCTTAAGTAACCGATTCGTTTCGAATGGAACGATAACGGCTGGTTTTGTATGACTTATGGAATAAGTAACGGCTTGTTTTGTATTTAACGGTCGGTTTCAGTAGAACACGTAGAAATCCTACTGTACCAATACAAAACCTGCCGTTTCGTTCTCAGATTTAACAAAATGACCGATCTTTGTGCAGTTTTAATAACCTTGAAGCCCACGAGCCCATCGTCCCTTGCCTTGCTCTTTGGGATTTGCACTCGAAGAAATAAGTCAGCGGGAGCTGCGATACCTCGGCAGAAAAGACAGATAGAAGAAGGAGGATCATGTTCGAGATTGCACCCATCTTTCAAGCCAGCCCTGGCGACAACACCCGACTACGTCGTGTGTTGCCGCCCGGTATCATTCATTCCCTCATTGCAACCTTCTTTATTAAGCTAGCCCTGGAGACAACACCCGACTACGTCGTGTGTTGCCGCCCGCTATCTATAATTTACCAGCTGCATTCCCTTATTGTAACTCTACCTTTACACTCCTGCTGGCTTATTGTGTGTTGTGCTGATTCACTAACCTTAAATATTAATGATTTATTCTACCCCTAACTTGTATTGAACCATCAATGTTCAGTTTTTTGGCTTATGACTATCTCTATCCTTATACTTTGGCTTCACCGGAATAGGAAATAGGAAATAGGAAATAGGAAATAGCATTAAGTCAGCGGGAGCTGCGATACCTCGGCAGAAAGACAGATAGAAGAAGGAGGATCATGTTCGAGATTGCACCCATCTTTCAAGCCAGTGCACCAGCCCTGGCGACAACACCCGACTACGTCGTGTGTTGCGCCCGTATCATTCATTCCCTCATTGCAACCTTCTTTATTAAGCTAGCCCTGGCGACAACACCGACTACGTCGTGTGTTGCCGCCCGCTACTCTATAATTTACCAGCTGCCATTCCCTTATTGTAACTCTAACCTTTACAACTCCTGCTGGCTTATTGTGATGTTGTGCTGATTGCACTAACCTTAAATATTAATGATTTATTCTACCCCTAATTGTATTGAACCATCAATGTTCAGTTTTTGTTGGCTTATGACTATCTCTATCCTTATACTTTGGCTTCACCGGAATAGGAAATAGGAAATAGGAAATAGGAAATAGCATTAAAGGGGTTGAGAACTCAGGCAGTTTACCTGCCGAGGTTAAATGGGTTGAGAACTCAGGCAGTTTACCTGCCGAGGTAAAGGCAGCATTTCCACCACCCACAGGAGCCGCTTTTGCCCCAGGATGGGCCGTCCATGGGAGTGAGCATTCATCCTTTTGGATGGCTCCGACCCTGGATAAGCATGGAACTGTGCGCACCTTGGATTTTGTCACTGTCATCCCTTTCTTCCTCATCCTCAATATGCACAATGCCGAGGGTGCAGAGAGAATCATACTAGTAATGTGGGGGAGCATCAGAAAGTTGCAACGAACGTGTGTTCTAGATTGTTTTGGCAGGTTCTAGCTACATGTATGGACCCCCCAGCCGATACGTCACTGGAACTTGCTAGCTAGAGATTGTACGGTACTTGAGGCAACCAACCTCGCAAAGTGCATCACAACACTCCTGCCTGGAAACCACAATCGGCGCATTTATTTGCTTCGTCTTTTCTCATTAAATTTGTGTAGGCGTGAAAACATGTATACATATATATATTTAGCACGGCTTTTTCGAAGGCCGGAAGGGGAAACTGTTGACAAAGGTGTGTCGTTTTCAAGCGCAAATCGGCACACTGCAAAAATCCCACCTGGACGAAGAAGTGGGGTTTCAAACCAAATGATCAGCAAGACGGAGACGGCTATCAATGTCAACAAATCCTACAGCTGGCTCACCTCTTTTCCGGGTCAACCGTGTAACACCAAGCCCTGCAACAGAAGAAGCACACAAGTGAGATTTATCGAGTACAAGCCATGGGCGGATTAGAGAGAGAAAGTATTGCATGCTGTACCTGGGCTCTCCATCTGGATTGCGACCTGTGTTGACGGGGCGAAAACTGTGAGGACAAGTAATCACTTTGCGCCAATATGTTGCCTAGAAAGTGGGACTTACAAAAGTTGCCAGACAAACCAGAATCCGGGTGGTCCTCTGGTGCCAGGCCATGTTCATGTGGCGTTTGAGCACTCCACGCTTGGCAAGCAATTCCTCCTACAGTTTCATTGACAAAACCTCGGTAGTCTGCTTGCAGGATGTCTGGTGAGCCACATTCGAATGATGTGCAATTTGCGCAGAGCACCTGCTCGAGAAGACCTTCTTCTTCATCATCTTCTTCCGGTTCCATGTCCTCGCAATAAGAAATATCGCAAAAATCCCACCTTTAGTATGAAAAAGGGCAGTTTCAAACGGAACAGTCAGCCAGGACGGAGACGGCTATCAATGTCAACAAATCCTACAGCTGGCTCACCTCTTTTCCGGGTCAACCGTGTAGCACCAAGCCCTGCGACAGAAAAAGCACACAAGTGAGATTTATCGAGTACAAGCTACGGACAGATTAGCTAGAGAGAAAGCAATGTGTGCTGTACCTGGGCTCTCCATCTGGATTGCGACCTGTGATGATGGGGCGACAACTGTGAGGACAAGTAATCACTTTGCACAAATATGCTGCCTAGAAACTGGGACTTACAAAAGTTGCCAGACAAACCAGAATCCGGGTGGTCCTCTGGTGCCAGGCCGTGTTCATGTGGTGTTTGAGCACTCCAAGCTTGGCAGGCAATTCCTCCTGCAGTTTCATTGACAAAACCTCGGTAGTCTGCTTGCTGGAGGTCTTGTGATCCACATTCGAGGAGGTTCACCTCGAGAAGACCTTCATCCTCTTCCGCTTCCATGTCCTCGCAATAAGGAATATTGCAAAACTCGTTCCGAACAGTCGGGTCTAGTAGAACCAGCAAACAGTGAATCCTTGAGATGGCGCATAGCTTTTGACTTCAAACAGAGCATCGGCAAAAGCTTACCAGTTGTGTAGCACCAGGCTCGGGACAACCCATCTTGAAGAAATCAGTTCGCACAAGAATCATGTCAGTACGATTGCATTTTTCAAACATTGAATCCTTGTTGGACTGGCGGTCCTTACCTGGATTGCGACAGTAGTTCTCCTGCAACATATTTGCTTTTGCGGGGTCAGGGGCATTCTTGTGAGGAAAATCTGTTCCCCAGTGCTGGCATCGCCGGCCACTTTCTGTGACAGCTACGGTCCCACGATAGTCTGCTTGGCGTTCTTCCCGACTTCCACAGACCATGCTCCTTTCTCTTGCCTCTTCAGACATACAGAAAGGTACATCACAGTACTGAGAGATACAGAAAACCAGTATTTGAGTGGGGTGCTGTTATCATGAGGCCGTTGCGATGAATGACTAAAAAGATCCTGGACTTACCTCCCAGATGACATTAGGATCTTGCGTATAACACCAGGCCCTTTCATCGCTAGTCGGGTTCCTGCAAGCATTTCCAATCAAGTTCTTGTTCGGCATCAATGCGGGGTGCTCGTAGTGATAGTGAGGTTCTTGTGTATCCCATCGCTGGCATGCCAAACCACTCTTTGTCACGTTGATCATGCCCATGTAATCCTGTTGCTTCCCATCATAGGTTCCACAAAGTTTCTTGTCTGCTGAGTCACAATCAGGGATATCGCAGAACTCCCACCTAAGAAATTGACAGTGCTGTGAGAAGGCGTCCACAAATAGTTTTCAGAAACAAAGCAAAGAGTCTATACCTTTTCTCTTCGTCAGTTGTGTAGCACCATGCCCTACAAAAGTCCAACAAGTGATAAGATTATGCTTCAAAGCATTGAGCAACTGGAGCAGCGGACGCTCAATGAGTTTACCTTGGCTCCCCGTCAGGATTACGACTGAGAAACAGAAAGCAAGCTAGATATGTGAAAAGAACCAATCTGCATCCACCAGAAAGGCACAACATCGGACGTACCAATAATTCTCTTCCAAGCCAAGATCTGGATAATTTTCTGGAGTTACGGAGTGTCTCTGGGGAAGCTGTGAGTCCCAACGCTGTACCAAAGAAGGATAATTAGAATGGCGCGACCATACAGGACAAGAAAAACACTTCAAAGTCTTGGATCTGGACCTACCTGACAGGTTCTGCCACTCTCAGTATGATTGACATTGCCACGATAGTCAGCCTGGTTTATCAGAGGTGATCCACAGACCTCCTTGTTGTTGCCACCACTCTCCTCTTCTGCAACTGGTACGTCGCTCCCAGCATCTGACTCAGTACCATTGTAGTAGACGACCTCACTACATACATGTAGGATCATCAAAGCACCAAGAGTTAGTCACATCAAGTCAGCTGGAGCACTCAGCAGTCTTCCGTGGCATTCCTTACCAAAAAGGCACATCACTGTATGATAATCAGAGCACAAAGAGTTAGTCAAATCAAGTCGGTTGGGGGGTTGCACATTTGCCATGGTATTCCTTACCAAAACTCCCATCGGGTCTTGTTATCTGCAGATAAGTTTTGAAGAGCCAAGGAAGCAGTTAGTCTTCAACAACCTCCATCATCCTCGAACAATCTCTGCCATGCCTGAATTTGATCAAAGCTTACCAGTTGTGTAACACCAAGCAGCACTTTCTGAGTCTGGGTTCCTGCAGTAGTTGGATTCAAGGCCAGCCAGCGGATACATGTCTGGGCTGTAGGGGTGGTGATGAGGTAGCTGGGAATCCCAGCGCTGACATGGTTTCCCCGTCATGGTTGTGTTGATTGTGCCTCTGTAGTCAGATTGTTCTCTTCCTTTTAGGGTTCCACAAAGCGTGTTGTCCACACGGATCTCGCCATCGCAGTACGGCACACTGGAGGTTCGGGGAAACTGTGAGGATGGTACTGGTGGCAGTTGTGCACCTCCATAGTGGCCTAGCCTTCCAGCACGTACCTGCAGAAAACTTTTTGACTAAGGCCAGGGACAGCCGCAATACAAAAAGGGCGCGCCTCGCCATCAGGATTTCGACCTATGTACAAAGGGTGGCACGGTAGGTTTGTCAGGTTGTAGGATTCCAACATCTTCTAATGCGTTCATCTACGATGATGTGAACTCACAATAGTTTTCTGAGAGGTCAGCTTCTGGATACTCCTCTGGCAGGAAAGCATGGCTATTTGGGAACTGAGAAGTTGACCAAAAACTGTGAGGCTCCAACCACAACACAACGCTTGGAACTGTAGTATTTCTTTCTCCTCGCGTACCTGTGAATCCCACCTTTGACAGAGAACTCCCGATGATGTAACATTGATAGTTCCTCGGTAATCAGCTTGATTTTTCAGAGCCGTGCCGCACTCAAAGAAAGTTGCATTGGCGGTGATGACTGTTGCTGTGCCTTTGTTCCTGGGAACAACTACCGCCACAGGTATAATCACAACAAGCAAAACGATGACCATGCCAGCCACGAGGTACCCAAATCTCTTGTTGGCGACAATCGCCTTGAAACCTTCTGGGGCCTTCCTTGCCTCCACGACTTCCTCGTCATCGACCAATGTGGCATTTGCAAGGGTATCATCGGGTGCTAGAGGCATGCCATCCAAACTAACAGTGGCGGTGGTGATACCCCCAATGGAGTCTCTCGATATCATCGAGTGCATCGAGTCATTGGAGAGTTCCCCGTCCATCCCAATTTCAATGTCATTACGGGGTGGTCCTCCCGAGGGCGTCACGTGAACAGCTCCAACCTGACTTGTCTGAGTCGCACTCGAGTTGCGAAAGGTGGAGACAATCATCGTTTCGCCAATAAAGCCCATATCCACCTCACATTGCGGGCTTGGAGCATCACCCCCAGAAGGAGCAGCAACCGAGACGGTACGTTGCTTGATAGGGGTGCCCGCGGTCACGACCAGAGCTTGCTCCTTAGGACCTTGCGCGGAAAGCACTTGCTTTGCTCGTAGCAAATCTTCCGCATCCATAGCCCGACTTAGTCCGACCGAAATAACCTTCTCTTCTTGCACCAGAGGAACCTGAGTGGACATCACTTGCTTTGCTCGCAGCATATCTTCCATATCCATGGCTCGACTTAGGCCAACCGGCGTAGCCTTCTCTGCTTGCCCCCGTGGAACCTGAGTGGACATGACTTGCTTTGCTCGCAGCATATCTTCCATATCCATAGCCCGACTTAGGCCGACCGGGGTAACCTTCTCCTTTACATCTTGCGCCTTGACTTTTTCTGTACCGGTAGCCTGGACGCTCTTTGCCGTCTTCTCACTAGGTACCTTGGCGTCCTTGCTGCCATTGGATGCTTTCGCCTTCTCCTTACTAGCCTTGGGGTCCTTCTTGCTACTACCAGCGGCTGTTTTCTCCTCGGTAGCTGCCTTTTCTCCTTCCTCAGTCTCAGTCTCGGCCTCGATGGCGGCTCCCGCAGCATATCCATTCCTCGCCGCATTGAAATCTGCCAAGATCTCCAACATGTCCGTCGCATCGCTTCGTTCGCTTGCGTCAAGCATCCTTCCTCCGTTGCGTCGTCTATCCATCTTTATGTTACAGGTAGAAGGTATGTAGGACAAATTCCAAGCACAGTTCGATCTTTCTGAGGGTCTGCAAAGTGAGCTTGGCAACAAAAGGAGCACTTTGGAGCGTTTTCAACCCTCAAGATCCTTTCTCGCTATCGCTGGGTAGGTTATTTGCGGTAGTCAGAGATCAGAGATAGATGACTGACTACTTTGAAAAATTCTACAACCTGTACCGGTACACGTAGCATTGAACGGCCCATGCAGTCATTGCCTGATGCATTTACTGTTGGAAGCAGGATGATATTGTAACTACTACGTCAGTGGTACCGCCGTTAAGACACCTCAGACATCTCAGAACTTTGTTGGACAATGGCCAAATTACATTTAAAACAATACTTTCTTTTCTACTTTCTGATCAATAGCTGATCAATGCACCACTGACAACTTCTGAGTGCAACTGTGATTAAAAAGAGCAAAAAACCTCCTTATCTCCTTCATTCCATTCTCCCACTTTTTCTGAGTATGTAATTGAAAGAAGCACGGAGAACACTACCGTACGCAAAGCTAAAAGCGCTTAGAAACCTGTCGCTTTTCGCGGATCCACCGAACATAGGAATAAAAAGTTCTTGACAAAAGGCAATTGTTATTATTTATAGATGTTACTGCCACTGTGTGTACGAGCGAGTACTAGTACAATCCTCACTCACACTTAAGATAAGTGGGTTTGAGATACTAAGTACTCTGCTGAGTAGCTTTACAGAAATGTTTTAAAAGATACCGGTAGCCTCTACTGGTACATGTACAATTTGATTTGATTTGACACAAAGATTAGTAGAATTATGTTCTACTGCGCAGAAGGCATGCTTTTACTTCACTAGGAAAGACAGGCGGCCAGTAGTGCCGCCTGTTCAAGTAGAAGGGTTTCTCATGTGTAGCATGAAGACTGTACAAAAATAAAAATAAAATCCAGAGAAAGGAAATAGAAAATGGTAGCAGGTTCTTGCCCCGATCGTTGCATTACATCCTGCGCCCTGGGTCATCGCTCATTCAAGGGAAGTGTGCATAATGATCCAAAATGTTGAGGTGCTGCCGTTGCACCGAAGATAATCGTAGTATTGCTGCCCGAAGCAGTGGTTCTGAAGTGGTTGACATTTATTCTCAATCCAGCGCGCTGTTGTGGGGATTTCTGCATCACTCAGGTTGTTGCTACAGTGAATGCTGAATGGAGGGGATGTCGATTTGCTCAAGGTATTAATGCTGATGATGAAGTAGTTGACTTCCGTTCTGGTCCAATGTCTTGTCCGATTGCTTTCCCATGAAGACTCCGATGTGGGAATTTCTGCTCCACCCAGGTTGTTGCCACATTTGAGAGTGCATGGGAAGAACCAATGGAAGAAGTTCCGTTGTGGGGATTTCTGTTGACCTCAGGTTGTTGCCACTATGGGTATTGGATGGTAGAAGGGTCATTTTGGTCGGTTTTTCGGATGGGGGGCTTGGGAGCATCAGCTCCATTATTCCATTAGGTTCATAAGTGTTGATAGTAGTGATTTTCTTGTTGTAAAGTGTATCGGTGTGTTTTGCATGGTGTAATTGGTCGTGCCGTTCGTCATGGTCAATCTTTTTATTGTTTTCTTTTATTATTCTTGTAATTTCTACGCAGATTTCTACGTATTTTGAGTACTGGGTTATTATTAATTTAGTCATTCAGATAAAACCAACGCTGGAATTATTCTACTGGTACATGTACAATACACTCAGATTTCCCAAACAGGTAAGATAAGCTACCAAGGTCTCAAATCCTAAGCTAATACTACTACTATGTGGGGACCAAGTACCCACTATCTTCCACATCACCATCCACATACAAGTCCGCCATAATACTATCCCCATCCTGGGGTGCATTCTCTAACACAACATCTCTGGTTTCATCTAGACGGCTTTGCACATTTGCCTAATTGGGCTTTGGTGGTGGCTCTTCACTGTCCGATGACATTGTTAGTGGTAGTGTATGTGGCAAGAGCTGCTGGTGGCTATATAAGATATGAAAGATACTGAGATTGGGCTGCTTGTAAGATAATTACTCAGCGTGGCTGTTGTTGTGCAGTGCTGGACTAAGAATAAGTTATCTTATCGATGAGGTAAGCATTTAGCACATGACATTATACTCCGATCTGGACTCTGAGTTGTCCACCCACTACAGTAACTCCAAAGCTCCAGAAGCTGCCCCAGAGTCACTACCAGGGTGTGAGAACCAGATAGATTTTGAACTGGTTAGGTTATAGGTTACAGCAACCAGATAGAAAATTCTATCTGGTTTGGTTATAGGTTACCAACCAGATACAGTAATTCTACCAGGTTAGGTTACAGGTTAGGTTATAGGTTACATAAATGGTTACGAAACTACCTATCTGGTTACCAAACATGACCTGGCCTAGCTGGCTGCCTAATCATCCTGGCGGGCCTCCTCCAACGCCTTCATGGCCTCCAACACTCCCAACTCCAGCATATCCTGAAAGGCTGGGGAAATCTCTTCTTCGGGTTTCTTCTTAGCAATTCTCTCCAACAGGTCTGTAGTCCGACGTTTGGCTTTTTCCAGCTGATCCTTCCGCAAGTGGAAGCGGTGTTCGTCCATGAACTTGGAATGTTCCGCGATATGATCCGCAAATTCTTCCAGACCATGGTGTTCACGTCTTCCTTCATCAGAGAATTGGGCAACATCATACATGTCCTCCTCCTCCTCAATGAAGCCTCCATCATTGTCTTCTTCGTCCATGATACGCAATAGGCAATGCAATGGGAAACCATAACCAGGTAGATCGGCGGATAACCAGATACGTAACCAGATAGGTCATTGCAAAGAACCAGATACGTAACCAGATATGTAACCAAAACCAGGTAGATTTGGGCATAGGTTCCCTATATGAGCGAATCAGGAAGAAAAAACGGCGGCGATCAACCAGATACGCTCCAAGTAACCAGATACGTAACCAGTTAGATAACCGTTTACGTAACCGGTTATGTTCCGAATAACCAGGTAGGTAACCTATAACCTAACCACATCAGGAACCAATTACAGATCGTAAAAGGTTAGGTTATAGGTTACCAACCAGATAGCGAAAATCTATCTGGATACAGGTTATAGGTTACGTAAATGGTTAAAAGACTCAACCAGATAGCCGTAACCTTAGGTTGACCACCGATGGTTCGCACACCCTGGTCACTACCAGTGCTATTCTTACGGACTTATTACGTACTAACTCAGGAGAGCTCTTTGAGCTCTGAGGAGTACAGTCGTACCGTCGTACCTGTACTGTACGGTACCTGCTGTGGCAGTGGTACAGCCGTACCGGTCGCGTACTTAAGTACGCTATTAAATGTAATATCGTTACAGTCGTACCGTAAAAAGTATGGTAGGTACCGTACTGTACAGTACAACAGTACAACCAATAATTTTTGTTCCACAAAGAACATAACCGTAGATGTACCGGAAACCGGAATGTACTTAAAGGTCCCCAGTCATGCGTGCCGGTATGCTCACGACTGACCGAATTACTATCATTGGTCATCAAGTTTAAAAGTTATCACCGAACGCACAATGCGACTTCTAGCAAGCTACATTGTAGTTCTTCATTGCTAAAGATATGACGCCTTGGCAATACAGAACACTGTGCCTGAAAGGTACCGCACCCATGGATTGTAGGTTCCCATGGGAGCGACACGTCCCGTGTCCTCTGGGGGAGATCTTGAGGTGATGGTTGGAAGCAGGGATTATTCGCCGAAATCGGGTATTCTTTGAGAGGTGGTAAAGCACACAACGCAGACAAAACAGCCCATGTGATCTGTCTTGAATGTAGTCGCCCTCTTGGCATTGGCATTGCCCTTCCTTTAGATCAAACTTGGTGACGGTCCCTTCCAGCCAAGTGCCTGCACACGCGGAGCAAAAATCCGTCTTGCATCTTGAGATACATGCTTCGCCTGGGCCCACAGGTGCCACCCACAACCTTGCGAGTATCCAACACTACAGCAGGCATGGTCCATGCCTTTTCAATGACTTTGTAGTGCGCAAAGAGCCGCAACAATCCATCACTGTTCTTGTAAGAAGAGTTATGAAAAATGGGCTCTCGCGTGTTAGTCTACCGGTACATGTTCCGATTCGAATCAGTGCAGCTGGCCACGCTGAAAAACTATGTAGATTGGTTCTCTTTGGATGGTACGTAGAAAAAGAATCTTTTGAAGGACTGTGAGAAAGAAAATGGACTGCAGCTTCTTGACTATGTTTTGTTGTTTCTCTATTATTACCAACCCTAACTACAGTACCTCCTTGGTTTTGTTTTTAGATTCTGGTCCACACCGTCTTGTCGGGAAAGGTAATGGTACCATACGGAAAGACCGTGTTTCGATCTTGAAAGGACAATTGTCCCACCGTCCCGCCATATTCGTTGGTGGTGGGTGGCGGTTTGCTCCGTTGGAAATCATAGAGGGCATCCATCACGGAATAAGAAGCAGCCGCTTGCGCCGCGCCCTTGCCATTGTAATAAAAGGTGAGTTGGGACGTGGGAATGCTAAAGAGTGAGCCCACTTTGCCATCGACAAATTTGGAATCCGCTGGATTGCCAGTGTCATTGACCTCCAACAAAATGTCGGGCTTGTTCCTGCGAATCACGCGATAGGCGTCTTTGTTTTCGCTCCCTGGACCAGATGTGACCTTGTAAATGCCATCATATTTGTAATAATTCTTGGTCCAAATGTTGCCATCTTCAAATGCTAAAGATTGCTTGTCGTCTGCCAATGTTGCTTTGAGATTCTTGGGTCCGCCTTTGAAGGAAAAGTCAAAGACAAACGCGTTGTTGTTGCCGTCAACAGTCACAGCAGCAGTATAGGTTTTGGCTTCTTCTTGTGTGGGGACACCGTCACTGAGTGTCATGGTAGTCTTGCCTGTCTTGGAATTGGTCCGAATAATGCGATATCCATCGGGGTGGTTGGGATCAAAGTAGACACCTTGATATCCTTCGTTAGCCTTGTTGAGAGCGGATTGCTCCGTCATGGGTCCTTGCAGCGAAATCGCTTGAACTTTTCTCGGATGTTGGATGAGGATGGAAGCGCCCAAAGCTATTGCGGCTGCACCTGTTGTTTGTTGGAACAGGTCACGACGTGATGATGATGGTGACGACGACGACATGGACAACTCTGTCGGGGAAGCACATCCGGCTGTCGTCTTTGTCGAGGGCGGAGCAAAACTAACCACAAAGCCAGAGAAGGAAACCAACGCAAGGAAGCAAGTGTAGAATTGCCACATGGTAGTAGTAGCATTCATAATCATTGTCATAATTGTAGATACCGTACTAGTAGTTAATAGGTCTAGATATCTACGGTACGGCACGAGTATAGAATCAAGCGGCAACAAGCAACCTCTGCAGTATAACAACCACAAAGATCCAAGTCCAAGATCACCAGTGACTGGATCTTGAAGTGCGTGTTCAAAGATCCGATCACGTCAATGAGAGATTATACAGCTCCCGCCGGCTTCTTTCGCGGAAGTAATTTTATGAATTATTCTTGTAGACTCTCAGTTGCCCCAAGATCCAATGACCCGCCCTCCACGTTGTTAGGGCACTGTCTACCGAAGCTACTAAAGGCGCTCTTAAACCAAAAATCGTCGTTTAGTCGAAAGTTTAGTATTTTCGGCAGTGTCTACCCATGCTACTAAAGCTATTTTCGACTAAACTCGTTAGTCAAAGGTCGTCGTTTTTGACTAACGGGAGGCTCTTTAGTGAAAATTGCTCACCAACACAAAAGGCTTGACTAACAGTCTTTTAAGCAGCAGCAGCAGCAGCAGCAGCAGCAGCAACAGCAGCAACAGTAGCAACAGCAGCAACAGCAGCAACAAGCCAACCAACCAACCAACCAACCAACCAACCAACTACTTGCCTCTTGTTATCTGTATCTCTACCGCTTATTATCCTCACTTTTACTATTCAGCACCTCTATGGATTCCTCTAGCAGCAGTTCGGAAGAGGATCAGGACGCATTCGACTTGATAGCCAATTTGGCAACGGTCCAGTCGGTCGTCATGGATGTCGTTGACAGCGATGGAGAGGACATTGATTCGATTGATC